AATCTTATAAACCTCGATCATGTCACCCCTCAGCCGTCGTTTCTCCAAGCTAAAGAGCCCGAAGCGCTTTAACCTTTCCTCATAGGGAAAGTGTTCCAACCCAAGCTCTGAGTTAGTGGGTCCTCACTGCAAGGTGTCAGACTCTTGAACAAACTTACTCCCCACAGCACTCTCTTGGCAGTGATTTATTTCTTGAGAGGAGAAGATGTTTCAAGCTAAGACGATCTGTGTCAGAACTGTCTCCTTTGGCGCCAGTTCTGGAATCATACATGATTCAAACGAGCCCCCCCCCCCCCCCCCGTGACCAGTCCAATCACTCCATTCATTCAGCCCGCCTAAACCTAGCGCACTCCGTTAGCCTTTCTCCATCACCTACAAACCTACAGTTATATTATCTACTAAAAGCCCTCCAGCGGAGACTGGCATTCAAGGTGCATTCTTCCCATCGTCGGGAGGCCCCTTTGGAAAGCAGTTGCAAAGCAGTGTGGCAAAGCAGTCTTCTACACACAGACACACAGACACACAGATGCACACACACAGTCTGCCCCCTCCCCCATTCCCAAAGTGAAAGAACAAAACAATGAAGACACAGTACAGGCAGTGAAGACAGGACATATGAAAATCCCTGGCAAACTAGGACCTGAGTTTGACACAAGGATCCATGGGCTGGGAGTGGTGTGCAAAGGGAAACCCATACAGGCGGACTGGAGAGCCAGCAGTGCGGCACTGGGCAGGCGCTCCATGCCGCTACTCAAAGAACAGGTAAAGAGTTCTTTCTCTCCCTCAGAAGGCTTCTTGATGAATTCTGTAGATTTACTTCCCAAAGATACTGAAGTACCCTGTTTCCCTGAAAGTAAGACATCCCCTGAAAATAAGACCTACTTACAGTTTTGCCTCTCGCTGAAATATAAGGCATCCCCCCAAAATAAGACCTCCCCGATAATAAGGCCCCCCGGAGCAGACAGGAAGTGCAAGGTCTCTTTTAATCAGAGAGCCCGCGCCGCCGCCAGGACAAGCTGCCGCTTGCTGCTCGCTCTCCCCTGATAGGGGATTAGCTTCGTCCACGTTCCCAACTCCCTCGGAGATGAGTTTTCAGACGTTACTGTTGTCACCAAAGGAGAGAAAAAGGTAATGATAGTGATGAAACAGTGACAGATAAGCCGAGATGGCTGCTTGGCGCTTCCTTTTCGTTCGCTGGTTTTGGGCCGCTTGTTTCGGTGGCTTCACCGATGATTCGTTTCACTCTGTCTTCTGTAGCTGTCTGAGTGCAACCGATGTCATAATAATGTTGTGGAAAGGCAACATTTTCTAAAAAATTATTATTAACTTTTTATAGGAATACAGAATTGTTGAGTACATATTCAGTGAAAGAAAGGTCAAGCCTGTTTTTTTTTCCTTTTTCTAGCCAGGGCAGAGCCAGATATTGTATATGGAATTCATAACTTAGTTGGTTCATTTTAAACCCAAATACTTCCATCTTTCAATATTTCTTACCACAATATTATCTACTAAAAGCCGGCCAGCGGAGACTGGCATCCAAGGTGCATTCTTCCCATCGTCGGGAGGCCCCTTTGGAAAGCAGTTGCAAAGCAGTGTGGCAAAGCAGTCTTCTACACACAGACACACAGACACACAGAAACACAAACACACACAGTCTGCCCCCTCCCCCATTCCCAAAGTGAAAGAACAAAACAATGAAGACACAGTACAGGCAGTGAAGACAGGACATATGAAAATCCCTGGCAAACTAGGACCTGAGTTTGACACAAGGATCCATGGGCTGGGAGTGGTGTGCAAAGGGAAACCCATACAGGCGGACTGGAGAGCCAGCAGTGCGGCACTGGGCAGGCGCTCCATGCCGCTTGACTGTTGCAGATGAGGTTGCTCCACCATGCTGAAGCCACAATTGGTGTGGCTCTGCCGCCCCCCCTCCCGAGCAGTCTCCTGTTCCATCCCTTGTACTACCGTGTTTCCCCGAAAGTAAGACATCCCCCGAAAATAAGACCTACTTACAGTTTTGCCTCTCGCTGAAATATAAGGCATCCCCCGAAAATAAGACCTCCCCGATAATAAGGCCCCCCAGAGCAGACAGGAAGTGCAAGGTCTCTTTTAATCAGAGAGCCCGCGCGCCGCCAGGACAAGCTGCCGCTTGCTGCTCGCTCTCCCCTGATGGAGTGTACCGTATTCTTCTTAATAAGACATCCCCTGAAAATAAGACCTAGTGCATCTTTGGGAGCAAAAATGAATATAAGACACTGTCTTATTTTCGGGGAAACACGGTAGTTGCTTGCGGGTCGCACAAGAGCCCGGGACGGGCCACTTCCGGCCCCCGGGCCTTACATTTGACACCCCTGCTCTAGAATGCTTTGGCTCAATAGAGAACGGCAGTTGTTCGAGTCTCCTGTGTGCTGATTGTCTCCTCTGCCTTCTCCACGGCCCACAGGTGGACATCCGCATCGTCGAGCCCCAGGGGATTAGCTTCGTCCACGTTCCCAACTCCCTCGGAGATGAGTTTTCAGACGTTACTGTTGTCACCAAAGGAGAGAAAAAGGTAATGATAGTGATGAAACAGTGACAGATAAGCCAAGATGGCTGCTTGGCGCTTCCTTTTCGTTCGCTGGTTGTGGGCCGCTCATTTCGGTGGCTTTACTGTCTTCTGAAGCCGTCTCTGTGCAACTGATGCGATAATAATGTTGCGGAAAGGCAACATTTCCTAAAAAATTATTTTAAACTTTTTATAGGAATACAGAATAAAGAAAGGGGGTAAGGGGAAAAGAGAAGGGAATAAAGTTATAAAAACGCAATACAGAGGGCAATTTTTACAGATCTTAAGGACAATCATTGATTGAAAAGTATATGTAAAAAAGATGTATAACACGGTGGCTTAGTAAAGCACGATAACAACCTACTCAAAGTATTCTACTATTTTCTCATAATGTGTTTTCATTTTTGTCCTGGCTTATCAATAATAAAATAAAACGTAAGCACATTCTCTTTAACTTTATATATAATTCTAACATAACAGCTTGTAATAAAAACCATGCAGTTTGGTGTAGTGGTTAAGTGCACGGACTCCAATCTGGGAGGACCGGGTTTGATTCCCCACTTCTCCACTTGCACCTGCTGGATGACCATGGGCAAGCCGTAGTTCTGATAAGAGCTGTTCTTGAAAAAGAGCAGTTCCTGTCAGAGCTCTCTCAGCCCCACCTTCCTCACAGGGTGTCTGTTGTGGGGAGGGGAAGGGAAAGGAGTTTGTAAGCCGCTCTGAGACACCTTTGGGTAATGAAGGGCGGGGTATAAATCCAATTTCTTCTCTTCTTCTTCAAATGATCATGTTATTTTTTTAATAACATTTTATTAATTACTTACAGTACAGATACATATATCATTTCCAAAAGGGTAGATATAACAAGTTACATGTCAAGTAAAGGTACAGTAAAAGGGAATTAACCATAAAGTAAGCACATATAAGTCTAATCATTGCAAAAGTCTAACAATAGCCTCCAAACTATGAGATGTCATATGCGTGCAATATCTGAAGTTTGATATGATGTAGAGTAATCACAACGTAAGAACAAGAAAATGGACCTGCAGTATAATAAAATCCAAAACATCACAACCATTGGTTCAATTGAGACCATTCAGAGGAGATAAAATGCTGCTGAGATAAGTACTCTAAGACTGGGAACCACTTTGCATTAAATGAAGAACATTTTAGTTGTTGATTCTGACAATTCAACTTATCCGTAACAGAACCCATCAGGTAATGGTCCCATAACTTATGAAACCATACCAGTTTGGTGTCGTGGTTAAGTGTGCAGACTCTAATCTGGGAGAACCCGGTTGGATTCCCCACTCCTCCACTTGCAGCTGCTGATGTGACCTTGGGTCAGTCACAAGCTCTGGCACAGCTGTTCCTGAAAGAGCAGTTTCTGTCAAGAGCTCTCTCAGCCCCACCCACCTCACAGGGAGACTCCGAGTGAAGGGCGGGGTACAAATCTAATCTCTTCTTCTTCTTCTTCTACCTCCGTATTGGGTGGTTTAGCATCTTTCCAAAAAGATGTGATTGCTCTTTTGGCAGTATCCAACATAACATCAATGGTAGCTTTATGTTGTCGAGTAGATAATTCTGTAGGCCAGGAGTTTAGAAACATAGTCTCCAGTGTAAAAGGGACTTTTACTGAAGTGACCATATTAATGACAGACAACACTTCCATCCAAAAAGCCTTGATTTTTTTCGCAACACCACCAACAGTGAGCAAAGTCACTTAATAATGTTCTTAATATTTCATATGAGTTGTAATTTATAAAATAAACCTTTCAACTATATAACTACGAAGGTTGATTATAGTAAGCACAAAAAGCTTGCCAATTGTTCTAAAATTCATCTTTCAGGCTCCGATTAATGCAATTTGTCAATTTCGCCATAACTGCATATTCTTGCATTTTGTCTACCCGATTCTCAAGAGCTTGACAACTCTCAATCTTCCACTTTGCAAAAAACACTACGCTTGCTGCAGTTAACATGTATTTAAGCAGAGGTCATTTCGGGGGGGGATCGCGGAGGATCGCAGTTCCCCCAGGTGAGGTACGGGGGGCGGGGCACATGACGAAGCCCTGCCCCCTGCTTCCGGCCGCCCCGCTTCCGGCCCTCATTC